CTTCCCCTCTTCCTCTTTCCTCTTCTCCCCCTCCTCTTCTTCCGCCTCTTCCTCCTCCTCCCCTCCTCCTCCTCCTCCCCCCTCCTCTTCTTCCCCCTCCTCCTCCTCCCCCTCCTCCTCCTCCTCCCCTCCTCCCCCTCCTCCTCCTCTCTCCCCTCCTCTTCTTCCCCTCCTCCTCCTCCTCCTCCTGGACCAGCGTGTGGGTCAGTGTGAGAGAGGATGATGGTCACTATATAAACCTGGTGAGACTACAAGGATTATTGGCTCTACATGTACACCAGGTGAGCTAGCTTTAATTATCTCTCTCTCTCTCTCTCTCTCTCTCTCTCTCTCAATCGATCTTCGTTTCACTCTTTCGTAAATTATAAAAATGATATAACAATAGTATATAAGTAATTAACTATTGTCACTGGGGCTAACTTAACTACCACTAACTACCCAATTGCCTCTTATGCTGTATACTATATCCAAATTACCCTCAAATGGGACTTTAACTACCACTAACTACCCAATTATCTCTTACATAACGTCTTATTGCCCTACATAGGTCGTTAGGCATATTGAACTGCCTTAACTATCCAATTGCCTCTTATACCGTGTACTATACCCAAAATACCCTCAAATGGTGGTCTTAACTATCACTAACTACCCAATTATCTCTCCCTGGTAGTTAGAGGCAGCGACGGGGTTGACAGTGAGGGTGAGACAACATGAGGGAGAAGAGGGGGGGCATGACTCTCCCTCTGCTACCTCCCTGGCCTCTACCTCCCTACCTCTACAGGTGAGAGAGAGAGGAGAGAGAGTGTGTGTGTGTGTGTGAGAGAGGAGAGAGAGTGTGTGTGTGTGTGAGAGCTATAGAGAGAGAGAGAGTGTGTGTGTGTGTGTGTGTGTGTGTGTGTGTGTGTGTGTGTGTGTGTGTGTGTGAGAGAGAGAGAGAGAGAGACTATGTGTGTGCGTGAGAGAGAGAGAGACTATGTGTGAGTGAGAGATAATTAACACCTAAAAATAAAAGTCTTCAAAACTAAATTAAAATTATCTCACTTTCTCACACAGGTCGTGGATACAAACATAACAGCCTTGGTCACCCCACGCCTAACTCACGCCCACGTCTGCCGCCCACATGCCCACAACCACGCCCATCACCCCACCTCTTGCACCCCCACTGACTGTCTTAATGGTGGGCGGTGTGTGGGTATAAGGTGAGTCAGAGAGAGAGAGAGAGAAGAAAAAAAAGGAAAGAAACCACAAAAAAATTTATCCTCAGGTGTGTAAATCCCCCAACAGATGTATAAATCCCCCTAACAGGTGTGTAAATCCCCCTAACAGGTGTGTAAATCTCCCTAACAGGTGTGTAATCCCCCTAACAGGTGTGTAATCCCCCTAACAGGTGTGTAATACCCCTAACATGTGTGTAAATCCCCCTAACAGGTGTGTATGCCCGGGGAACTCATGGGGACCACAGTGCAAAATCCTATCAAGATCCTTCACGGGCCAAGGATGGGTTTGGCTTGACCCTCTCCCACCGTGCCATCCTACCATCGTCTCCTTACGCATCCTTACCACCCACCCCGAGGCCATCCTACTCTACTCAGGACCTCTCACTACCTCCAAGGAACCTTTAGGACCCCCAGCGACGCCTCTACTAGTCCTACAGCTCATGGAAGGACGTCCTGAGCTAATCCTACAGGGAAGTTTGGGAGTCCTAAAGCTTCGAGTTCATGTGACTGTTGATGACGGTCTCTGGCACAGTGTACATGTACGTCTGGATGAGGAGGTAACGTACAGTCCGTCTTTGTTTAACGTACATATATTAACGTACATTCATTTAAACGTACAAAGTACATATATTTTACCTCATAATTTACGTAGAGAAAATGAGAAAAACGCACGCGCGCGCACACACACACACACACACACACACACACACACACACAGACAGTCTCTACAAACTCAAAACTTTAAGTCAGATTATTAAGATGAATTAATTACTCACACGAGTTAAGTAAGTGTGAAGGTTTAGAGAAGTGATCTTTGTGGTGACTTTGTTTCCAGGGTGTGGGCGTGATGGTGGACCTGTGTGGGGGCGGGTGGCGGCCAGACGACCCTGATGACTCACACTGTGTGGCGTGGGAGGCGTGGCCTCGTCCAGTAGGCCCGGAGGCGTGGTCTGGTGGATGGCCTCTTCAGGTAGGAGGCGTGGCCTACACCCCCACACGCCCTGAGTCGGCCCCTACATGGAGCACCACACCCCCGCCACGCCCATTACATGGCTGCATCTCTCACCTCACCATCAATGGTCAGGTAAGAACACTAGGGCGTGTAGGCGTGTGGTCCACGCCCACTGTGGCGTGCAGGATACGCTTAAACTGACTCTTCTTCAGTTTTCTTGCAGCTGTGGGATCTTGGTCAGCCGCCTTATCACCACGCCACCGTCCCCGGCTGCCACCCACAACAGGCGGCTTGTGTGGGCGGCTGTGGCCTTAGAGGACATTGTGTGGGCGGCGTGAACCACCCAGAGTGTGAGTGTGAGGCTGGGTGGACGGGTGACAGGTGCGACAGGACCACAACACCCGTCACCTTAAGGTCGTCCTCTTACATGAAGATGGCCCTCTCCTTCACCCCGCCCTCCACCACCCTCAGTACTCAGGTGAGACTCAGGATGACTGGTACTCATCATGGACTCATCCTCAGCCTGGCCCAGCACCAACACCACGCGTCCTTCACCCTACATGTGAGTCATGAGTACAAGTTACTCAACCTAACTTAACCTGTAGACGAATTGAAGATAAGTGAGTGTACCTTTACCATCTCTCTCTCTCTCTCTCTCTCTCTCTCACACGTGTCCACCCACCTCTCTCCCTCCCCCGTAGCTCCGTGCGGGCGTGGCGTGTGTGTCAGTCTCGGGCGTGGGCTGGGTGACGCGGGAGACCTGTATGGACACCCGACCACTGGGTGACGGGGACTGGCACACCGTCAGGGCAGAGAGATACGGTCATAACCTCGTCATCAGTGTGGACGATGGTGACGTGTGGCGAAGAAACGAATCCCTGGTGACGTTCAATGGGCGGCGAAAGAGGAGGAAAGGAGACCCATCTACCCCACCCACGACGCCCATGCCACCCCCGCCACCCCTAGAAGTAGACAAACACGATGGGGTGACAGTGGGCGGCCTGCCAGAGTTCGTAGGAGTCAACCTCGTGGCTGTACATCAAGATCTACACAATGGTAAGATACCTCAGTTGCCCCTTAAATAAAACCATCTATCAAAGAAAACTGAATTAACCAGAATACGTAACACTTTTTAACCTAGACTTAACACTTGAAACTACTTATACTTAAAACCTATACTTAACAGTTTTAACTTAGACTTTATACTTAAAACTACTTATACTTAAAGCATATACTTAACAGTTTTAACTTAGACCTTACACTTAAAACTACTTATACATAAAACCTGTACTTTCTACTTAAATCTCATCCTACACTTATATTTGTAACCAAATTCTTTTAATCAATATGTAGTACAAATCTGACCTCTCATAACGTCTCCTGACCTCTCTTAACCTCTCCTGACCTTATTTATTTTCGCTTAATCTCCTAGCCTCACCTAACCTCTCCTGACCTCTCTTAACCTCTCCTGACCTCTCTTAACCTCTCCTGACCTTATTTAATTTCACTTAATCTCCTAACCTCTCCTGACCTCACTTAACCTCCTAACCTCATTTAACTTCTCATAATAACCTCTCTTGACCTCTTCTCCAGTGTGTGTAGATGACCTCAGGGTGTGTGGGAAGCGGTTGCCCCTCCCCCCAGCGGTCAACGGGACAGTCTGGGGTCAGGTCACGACCTTGAAGGGCCTGGATGGTGGTTGTGACCCTCCTGACCCTTGTGCCAGAACCTCCTGTCGTCCGCCCCTGACCTGCACCACGTCTTGGGGTCAGCCTATATGTAGGTCAGTAGGTCAGGGTAGTTCAGGGTAGTTTTCAGAGTAGGTTATGTTAGGTTAGATTAAGTCAAGGGTAGGTTAGAGAAGGTCAGGGTCAAAGGTAGGCTAGAGTAGGTCAGGGTAGGTTATATTAAGTCAGGGTTAGTGATCTTGGGTAGGTTAGATTAAGTCAGGGTTAAGGGTAGGTCAAATTACGTCAGGGATAGGTCAGAGGTAGATTAGGGGTAGGTCAAATTACGTCAGGGGTAGGTCAGGGTCAAGTGTAGGTTAGGATAGGTCAGATTAAGTCAGGGTCAAGGGTAGGTCAAATTACGTCAGGGGTAGGTTAGAGTCAAGTGCAGGTCAAAGCAGGTCAGGATTACAGGTCTCTCTCTCTCCTTGACAGCTGTGGTCCAGGTCGTCAATTAGCTGCCCACACCTGTACAGACATCAACGAATGTACCGCGTACCAACCCTGTCTCAATGGTGGTACCTGTGTGGACCACCAACCAGGGTACACCTGTGTTTGTGGACCGGGCCATACTGGGGCCAACTGTGAATGGTCCACTATGGCCACCCCGGGTCATCCTCTAGCTGCTCCTTTGGCCATGGCCTTCCTGACAGTGTCCTTGTTTTTATTTGGTGAGTTGTGTATCTGTCAGTCTGTCTTTCCGTCTTTTTTCTGTCTGTCTATTTTATCTATCTATCAATCTATCCATCTATCTATCTATCCATCTATCTATCTATCCATCTATCCCCACAGTGGTGTTGGGAGTGTTAGTCACAACTCGTCTTCGCCGTCGCTGTTCTCTCCACCGCCACGCCTCCACCGACCTCCACAGAGGCCAGGAAGAGGAGCAAGAGGCCGGGGCGTTTGCTACCATAGAGAGGAAGAAGGAGGTTGGAGGAGGAGGCGTAGAAGGAGGAGGAGGGAGGAAGAGGAAGAGGAAGAAAACCTCCATCACAGCTCTAGAGATGAAGACAATACCCGGAGGAGGAGACGATAGAGAAGGCTGGGGAGGAGAAGAAGAAGAAGAAGAAGGAGGAGGAGGAGGTGGAAGAGAGAGGAAGAAGAGGAGGAGAAGGACATCATTATCCCCACCAGGAGGAGAAAGAGCCATCCTAGAGGAGCAAGACGCCCCCCAAAGGACCTTTATAGGACTTAGGAGTGTCCCCCATAAAAGAGATCCTCCACAGAAAACGGGTAAATATTTGCCATCTTTAAGGACTAACTCATATAAACCCAATTACTAATGCTAATTGTCGCAGTGTTATAATTTTACGATAATGACCACGATAATAACTCAATAATTCGGTTTTATGGGATTTTGTTCGGTTAAGAGAAATATTATACGTTGTAGTAATGATAATGATAGTAATGATGATGATAATAATTATAATAATAATAATAATAATAAAAATAATAATAATAATAATAATCTTTTCTCTACCTCAGGAGAAAATGTCGGTCTTCACGTCCATGGCAGCCCTCAAGACCATGGTAGCCCTCAGGACCATTTTAGCCCTCAAGACCATAGTAGCTCTCAAGACCATGGTAGCCCTCAAGACCATAGTAGCTCTCAAGACCATAGTAGCCCTCAAGACCATAGTAGCCCTCAGGACCATGGTAGTCCTCAAGACTGTAGTAGTCCTCAAGACCATAGTAGTCCTCAAGACGATGGTAGTCCTCAAGACCATAGTAGTCCTCAAGACCATGGTAGCCCTCAAGACCATGGTAGCCCTCAAGACCATGGTAACACTCAAGACTATAGTAGTCCTCAAGACCATAGTAGTCCTCAAGACCACGGTAGTCCTCAAGACCATAGTAGTCCTCAAGACCATGGTAGTCCTCAAGACCATGGTAGTCCTCAAGACCATGGTAGCCCCAACACCCATGGTAGCACTGAAGACCATAGTAGTCCTCAAGACCAAGGTAGCCCCAACACCCATGGTAGCACTGAAGACCATAGTAGCCCTCAAGACCGTGGTAGCCCCAACGCCCATGGTAGCCCGGATAACTACTCAGGTAATTGTCTTCTTCCAGTTCTTGTGAAGTTGTGTGTGTGTGTGTTTGTGTGACCACCATATCAACACTGTCTCACCACCACCATCTCTCCTACAGATACTACACGCCCTAGGATCCTTCGCCCAGGGTTCCTAGACGTCATGGACCTCCTAAGAAACCTTCCAGGAGTGGCTAGGACCTCTATGACGGCGATGAAGGAAAAACTCACTCCTGCAGAAGTTATAGAAGACAAGACGAAGGCCGCTACTGACGAAGGAACCTCAGTAAATAAATGTGCTTCTTCCTCCGTCAAGAGAATCAGCTCCTGAAGGTAGCCTGGCTTTCTTTTTTGACTCCGGCGTCAACAGAAGCCCTAAGAGCATTCTTACTACTAACACTAACTACTGACGAAGGAGGATCTTTCTTCCGTCTCTTCTCCTTCAGTAGTCAAGGAACCTACCATTTAATACCTGTAGAAGTTGATGAAGATGCTATTAACAACACTCTATTACTACTGTACTAATACTAACTACTGACGAAGGGGGATCTTTCTTCCGTCTCCTCTCCTTCAGTAGTCAAGGAACCTACCATTTCATACCTGTAGGAGTTGATGTAGTTCTGTTGATCTCAAAGGACCTCGGCTTGTCCCAGCGTTACCAAGATGAACACCTGAAGAAGTGGATGAAAGGCCCAGTTAGTTATACCTGTTTTAAGGGGTTAAGTTATCATACTCAAGGGGTTAAGTTGTCATACTCAAGGGGTTAAATTATACTCAAGGGGTTAAATTATCATACTCAAGGGGTTAAGTTATACTCAAGGGGTTAAGTTATACTCAAGGGGTTAAGTTATACTCAAGGGGTTAAGTTATACTCAAGGGGTTAAGTTATACTCAAGGGCTAAATCATCATACTCAGGGGTTAAAATATGTCATTCACTGGCCTAATTCATCGTTCTTTTGTTCATAATAACATAGAACAAATATGAACAAATCAGACTTGTTTTGTTTCTTGTAACATTTTAAGTTTTAAGTGTGTGTGTCTGTGTCTGTGTGTGTGTGTGTGTAGTTTTTGTGTATGTATAATGTATGTATGTGTATATAGTTTATGTGTGTGTGTGTTGATGCCTGTATATGTATGTATGATCTACGTATATTCATCTGTACGTACATGTGTTTTTGTATGTATGAGAAAGAGAGAGAGAGAGAGAGAGACCAAAACACACACACACACACACACACACACACACACACACACACACACACACATAACTACTCTAGGGTAGTTTATGAAAGCAATGTTGTGTAGTCTTAGTTGTTTCATACATTTGTAACAACAGTTGTAGTGTGTTGAATAAAGTGTTGCTGTTGTTGATTGTGTTTTGTGATGAAGGTATTCTATTGTACCTGTGTTGGGGGGGGGAGGTGGACAGAGAGAGACAGACAGAGAAGGGAGATAGACAGATAGAGGGGGTAAATAGATGAACAGATAGCGGAAATTGAATACAGAGTAAATAGACAGACAGATAGACAGATAGCGGGGGTAGACAGAGAGGGTAAATAGACAGACAGATAGCGGGGGTAGACAGAGAGGGTAAATAGACAGACAGAGAAGGGAGATAGACAGATAGAGGGGGTAGATAGACAGACAGAGAAGTTAGATAGACAGATAGAGTGACAGATGGAGGGGTATAGAGGGCAGACAGAGAGGGTAAATAGACAGACAGATAGCGGGGGTAGACAGAGAGGGTAAATAGACAGACAGAGAAGGGAGATAGACAGATAGAGGGGGTAGATAGACAGACAGAGAAGTTAGATAGACAGATAGAGTGACAGATAGATGGGGTAGATAGAGAGGGTAAATAGACAGACAGAGACAGAGAGACAGAGGGGGAACATAGACATACAGACAGATGGAGAGATGGAGAGATAGGTTGAGGGGTTGAGATAGAGACAGACAGAATAGACAGAGAGACAGGTGAAATACAGAGAGAGACAGTAAGATAATAAATTGTTGGGTGGACAAATAGATTAAGAGAGAGACAGATAGTTAGGTATTTTAGACAGAAGTATCAGTTATATATTTAGTACATCATTAAACGGTAAGTAAATAATGAAAAAAATATTACTGACAGGACTAAAATATTTATCTCCTCAACTTCAGTGAATGATACGAGAAATAGAGAGAGAGAGAGATAAAGAGAGAGAGAGATAAAGAAAGAGAGAGAGAGATAGATAAAGAAAGAGAGGGAGAGATAAAGAAACAGAGAGAAAGAAAGAGGGAGATAGAAAGCTAGAGATAAAGAAAGAGAGAGAGATAAAGAAACAGAGAGGAAAGAAGTAGTGGAGATAGAAAGCGAGAGATAAAGAAAGAGAGAGAGATAAAGAAAGAGAGAGAGAGATAAAGAGAGAGAGAGATAAAGAAAGAGAGAGAGAGATAAAGAAAGAGGGAGAGATAAAGAAACAGAGAGAAAGAAAGAGGGAGATAGAAAGCGAGAGATAAAGAAAGAGAGAGAGATATATATAAAGAAAGAGAGAGAGATATATAAAGAAAGAGAGAGACAAAGAAAGAGAGATAAAGAAAGAGAGAGATATATAAAGAAAGAGAGAGAGATAGAGAAACAATAGGAAATATTCTTACGTCTGGCAGATTAGTAGACGTCAACAAATACGATAACTCAGACAACTGTTTCAAAAATTAGTTAGTCGGTTAATTGAGTTTTTTAATGTGTAGAGCGGCCGTGTCTAAGTAGTCTCACTCTCTCTCTCGCTCTCTCTCTCTCTCTCTCTCTCTCTCTCTCTCTCGTTTTCTAAGAAGGAAGAAAGTCAGTCATAGAAAACGGAGCTCTTGAAAGGGTAGACTTAGATGATTCTCTCCTCTTACCGTTGCATTATAGCCACTAAATTGGGTTCAGATTACCGTCTTTGGGTTCAGGTTACCGTCTTTGGGTTCAGATTACCGTCTTTGGGTTCAGATTACCGTCTTTGGGTTCAGATTACCGTCTTTGGGTTCAGATTACCGTCTTTGGGTTCGGATTACCGTCTTTGGGTTCAGATTACCGTCTTTGGGTTCAGATTACCGTCTTAGGGTCCATATTACCGTCTTTGGGTCTAGATTACTGTCTTTGGGTTCAGATTACTGTCTTTTGGGTTCAGATTAATGTCTTGCCCGGATTACTGTCTTTGGGTTCAGATTACTGTCTTTTGGGTTCAGATATCATGTCTTTGCCCGGACTACCGTCTTTGGGTTCAGATTACCGTCTTTGGGTTCAGATTACCGTCTTTGGGGGTCGATTACTGGTCTTTGGGTTCAGGTTACCGTCTTAGGGTTCAGATTACCGTCTTTGGGTTCAGATTACCGTCTTAGGGTTCACATTACCGTCTTTGGGTTCAGATTACCGTCTTTGGGTTCAGATTACCGTCTAAGGGTCTATACTACCGTCTTTGGGTTCAGATTACCGTCTTTGGGTTCAGGTTACCGTCTTTGGGTCCATATTACCGTCTTTGGGTTCGGATTACCGTCTTAGGGTCCATATTACCGTCTTAGGGTCCATATTACCGTCTTTGGGTTCAGATTACCGTCTAAGGGTCCATATTGCCGTCTTTGGGTTCAGATTACCGTCTTTGGGTTCAGATTACCGTCTTAGGGTTCATATTACCGTCTGAACCCAACCCTAACCTAACCTAAGGCTCAGACAGACGCCATAGCAACACAGTGTTTTCAGTAAGATAAAAACAGCAGACATTATTTTCGTCTTATCTCAGTGACGAAGTTCAAGGCTTGTGAACTGAGTGGTGGTGGTTGTTGTTGAGGTGGTGGTTGTTGAGGTGGTGGTTGTTGTAGTTGTAGTTGTGGTTATTAGTTGTAGTACCATAGTATTATTGTTGTTGTTATATTATCATCAATACCACCATCACAACACACACACACACACACCACCATCACCATCACCACCATTATGTTGTGGTCTTAAGACATAACAAAGACGTGGGGTGTTTATCTGTCTCTCACACAGCTGGTATCTGCAGCTGGCTTCTCTCCCAACTGCCAGGTGGTACTCTCTCACGTGGGCTGGCGTGTGGTGTAAGGGGGGGGGGTGGTAATTATCTTTCTTATTATTTCTTTAATAATGTGTATGTGTAAGAGGTGATATATTTCTTACATGTATGTATATATATAATTTCATATTTTTATTTTCCGTTATTATCTTCTATATCATTTTCTTTATTTATGTTTTCTAAGTTAATATATTTACTATGTTATTTCTGTATTAAATAACCTTTAATTGTCTTAGTTAAATTCTATACAATGGATTAACCTGGGAGAGCCATATAATTCTTTACCACTGGTACTCACTAGGGCAGACCTCCACCACCCTGGCCTTCATTACAACACATTAGACTGTTAGGTAGAGACGACCTCAGACACGTGAGGTACAGTGTGTATTTTATGGGAAGTAATTGTTATTTATTTAAATCTAAAGTGAATAAGATGACAATTTAAAGAGACTCAGACAAGAATGGATCATTAGGTCTGACTTCATAAGTAACAAAATAGATCTTCGATTATTTGTTACAACATTAAACAACTGTTATATTATTTGCGTGACAATAAAGATGGTCAGTTTACACTTGGTAGTACCACAGATATTAATATGTTCCTTATTATTACTGAATGAACAACATAGAAGCAGGTACCAGCATCTCAATATGGGAGTACACATTGATAGTTTACTCACAGCACATAAAACAAACTTTACTAATGACTCTAACAATATTCATGGTTTCAATACTGAACCTGGGACAATTATATTTCTGTTAATTATCTCCATTCATATACAAGAACACAACTTTGTTCATATGACTGAGATTAGTGCACCAGGGTCATTTACTGGTGTTTACTACAACAAATGAATCGCGCTATTAGCGTCGGTTGGACTCCGACGCACGGCTAGAGCGCTCATCTCACTGGGGTATAGCTCCCAGGGCGCGTTACTCCTTAGTTTTAATCTCCCTGAATTAAAGACATTCTGTCTTAGACATCTGGCTGGTAGGCAGCTAATGATTCACGATATGGGGTATAAAGAAATATCAGAGTCTCTGAGGCACAGCAGAGAAAACGGAGGACTCAAGCTTACTGAAGCGGTGAGAAAAATGTTGGTCTCAGCTGAGGGACTCAGTGTAGGGGTGTGGTGGTGAGATAGTGCAGGGGTGTGGTAGTGCAGGGGTGTGGTAGTGTAGGGGAGGGTGTGTGTGGCAGTGTAGTGGTTATGTGTGGTAGCCTTGAGATGTGGTAGTGTGTGGGTGTGTAATAGTGACAACTTGTAGTAGTAATGGTGGTGGTAGTAGTAGTAGAAGTAGTAGTAGTAGTAGAAATAGTAGTAACTCTTGTAACATCTATGGTAGCAAAAATAACAACAAAATCTCCATAACTGGCAACCCCATCGAGCCTCTACGTATAAAAACCCGGTGCTATCAAAACAAACCCCTCAGTTTACTCCCAACCATCATGCGGTCAACACCCTCACTTGGTCCTGCTGCTCCGTCGTTATGTCTCCTCTTAGGTTTCTTAGCAGGTAAAAATTATCCCAAGGAAGAATTTAATAATCAGGTGTAATTAGTAGGTGAGATACAGGTGTGTTACATGGACTAATTGACCTAATCTAACCGTGTCTGTAAGCTAATTCCTCTTCTGTAATGATAATGGGCGTGTGTTGCAGGCGTGGGGGCGTGGAGACTACCCCAGGTGGCGCGGCTTGGGAGACACACGCCTAGGATGGCTGATGTACAGATCGTGGGAGGCAACATCACCGAACAGGGACAATTTCCTTCCATGGTGAGTTTGTTTACATGGCACACCGAGACTTTATTTACATAGTTTACTGAATTTTTACAGTGGCTGCACCTTTATTTACACTGTTTGCACCTTTATTTACACTGTTTGCACCTTATTTACATTGTTTACATTTTTATTTACATTGTTTACACATTTATCTACTTATACTCCTTTATTTACACTTTTACTTCTTTATTTACAGTTTATACATCTGTTTACGCTATCATACGTCTTTGTTTACATTGTTTACACTTCTGTTTACATTATCAAATACAAACACGGCCATAAAACAGCAAAAAACGGCCAAAAAACACCAAACACGGCCATAAAACAGCAAAAAAGGCCAAAAAACACCAAACACGGCCATAAAACAGCAAAAAAGGCCAAAAAACACCAAACACGACCAAAAAAACACCAAACATAATATAAACATAGATTTAATATCCACCTAATTCTCTCAGATCTCCATTCAACATCGTTCTCTGTGGGGCAGCGTACACGTGTGTGGCGGCAGCTTGTTGAACGATAACCACGTCCTTACTGCTGCCCACTGCGTCAAGGGGTATGTTTTAGGGTATTTGGGTCTGTCTGTCTGTCTGTCTGTCTGTTTATCTATCTGTCTATCTATCTATATTTCTATCTATCTATCTATTTACGAGAGGTATGTTAGTCTTGGTAAAATATACTAAGTCAATTTATCTCTCTCTCTCTCTCTCTCTCTCTCTCTCTCTCTCTCTCTCTCTCTCTCTCTCTCTCTCTCTCTCTCTCTCCCATTATTATTTTCTTACCTCTATCATTCACAAAGACTTATAATACAATAACTCCTCATAAAACTTCATAAGACTCACTTGTGTTTAGGGGGTCATCCAAATGTCTCAGGGGGAATCAATTTACACGAGTTAGTCCTTCCAAGTGAGTCGTTTTCTATAATGAATATATCGTTCTTGTTGAAGGGTGACTCGTCTTTTTTTTTCTGTCTCTCTCTCTCTCTCTCTCTCTCTCTCTCTCTCTCTCTCTCTCTAGGTATTTTTCATCCTCATTCAATCTGATAACAGTTCTTTGTCTTCCTCACCTCACCCTCCTCACTCACCCCTCACCTCTCACCCCTCACCCCCTCACTTCTCTCATCTCTCACCTAGGTACTCAGGCTCGTCCTTCAACCTTGTAGCTGGTGAACAGAATCTGGAGAAGGAGTCGGGACTTGAACAGACCAGGAGGAGTGAACACTTTGTCATGCATGATTTCTCCACCACTACAGGAGCCAATGATATAGCTCTTATTAGGGTGGGTAGAGAGAGAGAGAGAGAGAGATTGATAGACCTCTAAAGCTGGATCTATTTTCTATGATAAACTAAAATAACTTAAATAAAACCATTTTAATTCACGTAATATTTCGGGGTTTGTTTTGGTTGATGACGTCACGGGTAGGGTTAGAAACAGCTGATTTTTTTTTTTAACTTTTTGTTTTTATTTTTCAGGCCTCGAGTGGTTTCGAACTGGTGGATGGGCTGGTTGAATTAGCCCCCTTGCCCTACGATTACGAGGAGCCTGACGAAGGGACTAAGTGTACTGCTGTAGGCTGGGGCTTCACACAGGTAAGGGTCTTGGGGGGGGGATACTTGATGGTTGGGACTACGTAGAGTTAAGAGCTAGGGGCTAGATGGTGGTGAGGGCTTAGACTACACAGAACTAAGGACTAGGGCTATTTGGAGGTGAGAAATAAGGGTTGGGGCTACTTAAGGGTCAGAACTTAGGGCTGGGGGCTAAATGAGGACTAGGGGTCTGAGACTATATAGAAGTAGGGGCTAGGATGAGGGCTACCAAGTGAGGGCTAGTAGGTAGGACCGGGCTATGTTAGAGGAAATTATTATTATTATTACATCTGTGAAAACTGTATGTGATTTCCCTATCCATCTATTCACCTATCCATCCACCCACTTATCCATCTAAACACTCATCCATTCACCTATCCATCCAACCAAGCAATCAGTTATCTATCCATCTACCCATCAACCCACATGTCCATCTATCCAATCATCCATCAATCCACCCACCCACCCCACCAACCCACTCACCCATCCATCCACCCAACCAACCCACTCACCCATCCATCCACCCAACCCACCCACTCATCCATCTATCCATCTATCCACCAGGACTCAGGAGAGATTAGTAATGATCTTCGCTACGTGGACCTGCCTTACCTGACAGATGTTGAGTGTCAGTCCATATTTGGTGACGATGCCATACTGCTAGATATGCTGTGTGCTGGTTATATGGGCGGCAAGGGCGTGTGTGGGGTGAGTATTCAGGTTGTTTGCTTTGTTTGCACCTTTTTTAGACCATTGTTTGCACCTTTGTTTGCATTGTTTTCATATTTGTTGACATTTTTTTACATTGTTTGCACCTTTGTTTGCATTGTTTTCTTATTTGTTGACAATTTCTTTACATTGGTTGCACCTTTGTATTTTTACGCTCTTGTTTACGTTGTTTACACCATTTTTTATTTATTATATCTGTGAATGTTTACATTTTTATAATACTTACTCTTTACTTACATTGTTTACACGCTTGTTTGTAGTGTTTGCTTTGTTTACACCCCTTTATATATTGCTTACACGCTTGTTTTTTGTATCGCTTTCGCGTTGTTTGCCGTTATTTACGTTGAGTTTTTCGCGTTGTTTACGGTTTTCGCGCGTTTGTGTTGTTTGCGTCGTTGTGGTCGTTCTTGTTTGCATTATTTGCTTATTGGCGTCTTTGTGTGACGATTTTTCTTTGTTTATAGTGGTTACAGGTTTGGTTTATATTGTTTACAGCTGTAGATGTTCCCTCCCTCCCTCCCTCCATCCCTCCATCAACCTAGAACACACATCCCTCCTTCCCTCCTACCTTTCCTTCCTCCTTCCCTTGACCCCTCTCTTCCTCCCACCTCCCTCCCTTCTTTCCTCCCTCCCTTCTTTCCTCCCTCCTTTCTTTTCTCCCTGCCTCCTTCCTTCCCTGCCTCCCTCCTTCAACTTCCTTCCCTCCTTCTACAGGGTGACTCAGGAGGCCCGCTATACTGTGACGGGGTACAACAGGGTATCGTCTCGTGGGGCGCGGAGTGTGACGCTAACCCAGCCGTGTTTACACAAGTCTCCCATTACCTGGACTGGATCAAACTCAACAGCGACTCCTAGACAATGATCTGAGGTCTTCCTGCTTCACCTACTGGGTGGGGGGGTGTTACTACTGTCAGGACACACAGAGGGGTGTTACTGCCTTCAGGTACATGGAAGGGGGAGGAGGTGTGCCACCTTCAGGATTTACAACAGGGGGAGGGTGTGTGCCTTCAGGATTCACAGCAGGGGGAGGGTGTTGTGCCTTCAGTTCACAGCAGGGGAGGAAGGGGTGTTACCTTCAGGATTCACAGCAGGGGAAGGGGTGTTACTACCTTCAGGATTCACAGCAGGGGGAGGAAGGGGGTGTTCAGGATTCTGTGGGGGGGGAGGAAGGGGTGTTACGCCTTCAGGATTCTGTGGGGGAGAGGGGGTGTTACTGCCTTCCAGAAGTTCACAGCAGGGGGGGAGGAGAGGGGTGTTACTGCCTTCAGGATTCACAGCAGGGGAGGAAGGGGTGTTACTGCCTTCAGGATTCACAGCAGGGGGGAGAAGGGGTGTTACTGCCTTCAGGTTACAGCAGGGAGGAGGGTGTTACTGCCTTCAGGATTCACAGCAGGGAGGAAGGGTGTTACCACCTTCAGGATTCACAACAGGGGAGGAAGGGGTGTTACTGCCTTCAGGATTACAGCAGAGGAGGGGGTGTGGGATTCTACAACAGGGGAGGAAGGGGGTGTTTTCAAGGTTGCAGGGGAGGGGTGTTACCGCCTTCAGGATTCAGCAGGGGGAGGAAGGGGTGTTACTGCCTTCAGGATTCTGGCAGGGGAGACACCTTCAGGATTCACAGCAGTCATACAAGGGGGCGTGTCAGTACCTAGGAAGTTCACAGCCGTAACAAGAACACTAATAACGACAAAGACAATAACAAAAACACACACTGTAGAGGTAAAGGTGGATTTGCAAAGACAGTCAAGACCCCGAGCAAGGACACTGGATTTAGCAGCAACAAAAACAAGAGTAAATAGTGCAAGAAAAATAACAAGAACAGCAACAAGTACAACGCAGACTTCAATAACTACAGGGATATCAAGACCTAACAACAACAACAACAACATCAACAGCCATAACAACCACCACCACCACCACAACAACAACATCTACAACAACAGCACCTACAACAAGAACAACAACCACCACCACAACAACAACAACTACAACATCAAGCAACAACAATATTTTACGTAAATTAATGTCATTGTATTATTAACAAAAAAATATTAATAAAACAAAAAACAAAAGCAATTTATTATCCACAAAAAATACTTCGTTTTTTTGTTTGTGAGTCGACGGTAACGATAGACAGTGAGATAGATAGACAGACAGTCATTTATACACACAGATAGACAGATGACAGACAGTTATTCATAGACAAAGACAGACAGATCGACAGGCATTTACACAAAGACAAAGATGGATAGACAGATACAGACAAGACAAAGAGATAAACAAAGACAGACAGACAAAGACAGAGACACAGACAGACAGACAAGGGAGAGGTGGTCGGTTCGGTGCTACTGAAGTCACCGTTTATGGCCGATTAGTTATCAAAGGGAGAGAGAGGGAGGTAGGGAGGGAGAGGTAGTGAGGGAGGGAGAGGTAGTGAGGGAGGGAGGTAGGGAGGGAGAGGTGGAGTGAGGGAGGGAGAGGTGGTGAGGGAGGGAGGGAGGGAGAGGTGGTGAGGGAGGGAGAGAGGTAGTGAGGGAGGGAGAGGGAGGTAGGGGGAGGGAGAGGTAGTGAGGGAGGGAGAGATAGTGAGGAGGGAGGTAGTTAGGGAGGAGGTAGGGAGGGAGGAGGTAGTGAGGGAGGGAGGTGGTGGGGAGGAGGGAGGTAGGGAGGGAGGTGGTGAGGGAGGAGAGGTGAGAGGTGGGGAGGAGGGAGGAAGGGAGGAGGTAGTGAGGGAGGAGGAGTGGTTAGGGAGGGAGGGGAAGGAGGGAGAGGTGAGTGAGGGAGAGAGGGAGGTGGGGAGGGAGGTGGTGAGGAGGAGGAGGAGGAGAGGTAGTGAGGGAGGGAGAGGTAGTGAGGGAGGGAGGAAGGGAGAGGTAGTGAGGGAGGGAGGAAGGGAGAGATAGTGAGGGATGGAGGGAGTGTGTGTGTGAAGGAGAGAGAGTCAGAAAGGAAGGGAGAGAAAGAGAGACAAAGGAAGAGAACGAGAGAGTAAGGAACATGGAAAGAGAGAGAAAGAGAGACTTAGTTAAACAGGTAAATACAGACATAGATAGATAGATGGATAGATGGATAGATAGATGGATAGATAGATGGATAGATAGATAGATGGATAGATAGATAGAGGATAGATAGATGGATAAATAGATGAGTAAAGAGAAAGAAAGAGAGATAAATAACATACATAGACAGGTAAAGAAAGAAGGAGATAGAGAGAGTGATACAGACAAAAGGAAAGAGAGAAAGAAAGAAATAGAGATATAAAGAAAGAGACAGAGTGACAGACAGACAGAGAGAGAGAGAGAGAGTGACAGACAGACAGAGAGACAGGCAGACAGAGAGAGAGAGACAGTGACAGAGAGACAGGCAAACAGACAGAAAGACAGACAGACAGAGAGACAGGCAGACAGAGACAGAGTGACGAGACAGACAGAGACAGGCAGACAGAGAGAGAGAGAGACAGAGTGACAGACAGACAGAGAGAGACAGACAGAGTATCATGGCCCTGGTAGTAGTGGGAACGTTAGATAAAAGAGTCAGTGGTCCTTACAGCACGAACCTCTTCCCGCCCTCCGGAAGGCGTGGAGGGGGTGGGGGACTTGTGGGGGTGGAAGACTTGTGAGGGCGTGTGGAGGACGTGTGAGGGGCGTGTGGAACGTGTGAGGGCGTGGAGGGAACGTGTGAGGGGCGTGGAGGGATAGGGGCGATGTGGGGGGACGTGTGAGGGGCGTGGAGGGTATTGAGGAGGGATGGGGGCAGTGTGGGGGTGTGGAGCAGGGGGATGTGGAGGCGTCTGGGGTAGGAGGGGGGCGTGGGGGGGTGGAGCAGGGGATGTGGAGGCGCCTGGGGTAGGTGGAGAGAAAGGCGTGAGGGAGGGGCGTGGGGGGGTGGCAGGGGTAGGTGGAGGCGTGAGGGGGAGGAGAGGGGGGCGTGAAAGAGTGGCAGGGGTTAATATGTGGGTTTTAATAATTAATTTTGATGGTTGTTAACTTATAGATTAGTTAAAGTCTCCACAGTAATTCAAAATAAAAAAATGTCTAAAAATTAAATATACCTGACATTTTACACTCGTTTCCTTAAGTAAATTAATTGCAAAATACAGAATTAGCTTTTTTTTTAAGAATTTACCCTAAAAAAATAAGTTTCTTGATTAAATACAATTATCTCGTCATCTGGTAAATAAATAATTGATTACTTTTACGTTTTTTGATAATTGATTATATTTACGTTTTCTTCTTTTACTAGTGAACACAAGTACAGTAGAAGCGAGTATAGGGTTGATATGCCTTATATAAACCACAACAACAATAAACACAAGTATAAGGGAGTATAGGGGTGATATAGAGAGTAGGTTCCTTCTGTATAAAGGGTTGTGAGAGGCGGGAGGAAGCTGTGATCCTCCTCGACGCCGCCGACCCGATGCGCTTCTGTTGTTTTCCCCGGCGGCGGCTCTTCCTGTCCCCGGTGCTGGTTCAGGCGTTTATAGCGACCAGTGCGCGCCAAATATTGTGTTATTGTGGGGGAATATAATGCTTTATGGCGGGATATTTTGGTCTTATATCGCTATTTATATCGTTTATAGGGGATTTTATGGCCTGTTTATATAGTGTTAATATAGGTTGGTGATATACGAGTATAGGTGTTGAGTTTGGGGTTTATAATTATTAATAGTAGTAATAGTAGCAGTACTAGTAGTAGTTGCAGCACGGTTATTATTATTATTATTAAATATAAACAAACACCAAAATAATACTGGAACCTGGACCTCAAAATCCCTCGGGAAGAACAAAGACTTGACAAAAACAAATTATCCTCCCTCTTCCCCCCTCCCCTCCCTTCCCCCTCCCCCACCCCCTCCCCCTCAAGAGAAAATAAAAATCACTACAGGAAATGGAAATATATTAAGCTCTCACTTGCCCTCGATGTTGTAAATTTACGGTCGGCCATTTATTTGACCAATAAAAACCTGTCAGTGGTGTGAAGATCTCCCGGGGGTAAATTGTCATCTTTTTTCCCGCCATTTTCAGCTTGGCGTCGACCGTAATGGCGGGAAAGACAGCGGGGTTCACTAGGGTCCCTCCTCGAGTTTTCATTCTCTGTTTTTCATCATTTCTGGTTTTATTTTCGTGTTATTTTGGGTATTTTTAGGTTTTTCGTGGTGGTTTTTATATATCTGGACTGGTTTTTAAAGTTAATTTATTCTAGTAGTTGAGTTTTTAGCGTTTTTAAGTTTGTGGAATTTTTCGTTTTCCCTGTAAGGTTTATTTTAATTGTCTTAAAAAAACGTTCCAATAATGTTACATAAAAGACCAAAATAGCGCGTTTATAGTCATATTGTCCTGCTGTTTTTAGTGCTTTTGTTATTATTTCTGCACTTTTGTGGATTCAATTCATTTCCAGGCATAATTAAGTTACTGGGCTAAAAAAGTTACTCGTTTTCCTCATATTTTTATATTTTATTTACTGGGTGGACTTATATATTCTTAAATAGTCTCTCTCTCTCTCTCTCTCTCTGTTGATCTATCTGTCTGTCTCCCTCTCTCTATTTTCTATCTGTCTCTTTATCTTTCTGTATGTGTGTACCTCTCCGTGTCCAACTCACTGTCTGTCTTTTTCTGTCTATCTCTGCTTGTCTGTTTGTCTCTCTGTCTCTTCCTTTCTCTCTTCTCTATCTCTTTCTCACTAGCACCTGTGACCTTCTTGCTCTCAAACAACTCGTCTCTCAGTACCAGGAAATCGGCAATGAATTTGAGGGAGGAGGAGGGGGGGGTAGAAGGGGAGGGGTACAGAGAAGAAGGAGGAGAGAAAGGACAAGGAGGGGAAATGGGAGGAGGGGGGAAGAAGAAGAAGGCTGGAGGGGAGGGAAGGGGAGGTGAGGGAAAAGGGAGAAGAAAGGCGAAAG